TTCTTCAAAGACAAGTTCATACAGTAGGGACAAAAACACATCTCACTTTAGCCAGATTTGATATAATAAGAAGAATACACATTTATTTCATAATACAATTTTGTAATATATTTGAGTTGAAGAGGTTTCGAAAACCTTTCGATCCATGGCAAGTATATAAAATAAAGTAACCCTGCTTATCTCAAATCTAAGCTTAGAACTAGCTTGAACACAAAGGACCACTCTAAAGGCTTGTACACAAGTTAATATACATCACATTATAGATTACAATTAAACAGCACACAATTAATCAACAACAAATTAATAAAACAAAACCCCTTCCCACACTTGTCCTTAAGCTACCATCTACAACAAAAGTCCAATTTCTAACCTAAGGTCTAACCCTCAATCTAAGGTTATAACTATTGTTCCCCTAATCCCAACAACTCAAAGGAAACATTAACCAGCCACAACATCAACCATCCATAACACTTCCCCAATTTACACTTAGAATCCTCACCTCCAAAATGCCTAATATTGAAATCCACTCAATAGCAACAATATAAACTGATTAAAACTCTTATCTAACTCCTATAGACAAAACCCAATCATCAAAACAACATTTGAATCATCCCATTATCAAATCCTATCAAATATCTCTTCCAACAACAAGCCCTAACCTCAAAATCACAACCAAAACCAAACTAATTAAACCTCTTATCTAACCCAAATAACTCTAATGAACCTAAAATATTTAGTCAAAAACTCAAAAATTTTGAATCCCCATAAACCTTAAAAATCTCAAACTTTCAAATCGGAGAAATCTAAGAGGAAAAGATAGAAAACAAGTTAGAATCACTTACTTGAAGGTTTGGAAACTCGAAAACACGTCCTAAGGATCGAAAATGCAAACCCTAGCAGAGCTCCCATACTTTCTCCTCTATTTTCCTTCTGTTTATTGAGTTATTGACATTAGTTTTTGTCAGCATTTTTGCATGTTTGCTACGGTGAACTTCACAAAAGTGGCTAAAAATTCAAATTTTGGGTGCATTTGTTGCGGTGGACTCTACCCTTTGCCGCAACGAATTTCATAGTAACCAACTTTTTTTTGTGACATTTGCTATGTACTTGGCCATAGAGCATTTTTACCTTTATGTGATGTTCACGGTGGTGAACAACACCCTTTGCCACAGTGAAGCACACAAAAAGCTCCAAAACTGCTTCAAAACAACCTCTAACTTACCCTTATATCTTACCAACCTTAAATGACCTCTAATACACCTCAAGATCATATTAAATTCAAGCTTAATCACCCCTAAATCCTTGATTAAAAACCAAGATGTTACACAACATGCAATATTATAATGTGAATTTATGTGCAAATTTCTAGCTTGAGCGCATAAAGTGTAATGTTAGTATCATTTAAACAGGAGTTTGTACAAAGAACAAAGAAATGCAGTCTTGTGGTGGATAAAATTTATGTGTCTTATCAATCTAGTACTATGGCAATATATGAAAATTTTTCATTTCATCTAGGGAATATAATTATAACTTATGGAGCTATATTGTGGAATTATATGTGAATCCTAGAAGGATTCAAATCCTTGTATGAATTGAAAATGATCCAATACATGAATAGATTTAGATCATAATATATGAAACTTCGTAAAGGATTCAAATTGCTAGAAGCACCATTTATGTTCTCAAGAACACTACTTAATCAAGTTAAATGAATCTCTATATGGAGGTTTATGTGGTATAATCGACTCAATAAATATCAATTGAGGGAATGATATAAAAATATTCCAAATTGCCCATGGTATGAAAAGATCTGGAAATGAGTTTGTTATCATCTCTACTTAAGTTGATGATATAATTAGCATCAAAGCATATGAAGAGTTTACAAAAGCTGTGAATTGTTTAAAGAAAGAATTTGAAATGAAAGACTTAGAAAGAACAAAAGGTTGCCTTGGATTACAAATTAGATATTCCTATTGGAATATGTATTAAGAAACATATACAAAATAGGTCTAAAAGCATTTTTATATGAATAAGTCACATCCATTATATGCTGTGATAGTTGCAAGATCTTTAGGTGTGCATTAAAGATCCATTTAGACTTCAAGAAGGTGATGAATAAATACTTAGTCCAGAAATACCATATCTTAGTGTCATGGAGTACTTACGTATCTAGCTAGCACCACACACAACGTAATACCCCTTTTAGTCCTTATTATAGGGAATCATTTAGAAGGAATTTTTGGTCCTAAATGTAAGTTATTAACCAACTCATTAATTGCTACTTTCCAATTTTACCCTCATTAATAATTAAGGTTTGGTGTTTAAAAGCTCATTGAACTCCATGTTTATATCTAACATCATTTAAATTGGGGTAGTCTTGAAAAAATTATCAATTTATGACAAATTTAATGCTTTAACTGTCATTCCATGGCATGTGAGAATTAATTGATAATGCCCTATAATAAGTACTAAAGGGAGTATATCATTTGCTAATTAGCATGATATAGTTCTTTACCAACACGAAGACATTGAAATAAAGTTAAGCACATTCTTCATTATAAGGGTACTATGGAGGTGATATTATTTTATCAAAATGTACCCAAGATTGATTTTCTATTGGATTCTTGTTTGATCCTCATGTTGAGAGATTATAGTATGATCTGCATATTCGTAAACCACAAATGGACTATTTGTCTCATGATTTTCAAAAAATTGTAAAATTAATATTTGTCTCAATACAATATTTGAGAAAATTGTTCATGATATTAGATTTTGTAGACTCGAAGATGACAACTAATGTTGCCAAAAAGGAGAGTTGATACATGCTATACTCTTTTTTTTTTTTTTCTGTTTATGGTTTTGTCTCATTGGATTTTTCTTCCAAGGTTTTTAATGAGGTAACACTAGATAATATATAAATGAATGATGTACTCTTTTTCTTCTACTTGGCTTTTGTCTTACATAATTTTTTTTAAGTTGAAGTTTTTTTAATAAGCCACATTTATATATAATGACATCAAAATGGAGAGTATTATGAATATAATAACATCTACATAGATATGTCCATATTTCTTGTATTATCTCTAATATCTTATATTATCCTCATGATCCCTAATTATCTTTTATTGTTATGTAATTTGTAAATTTTGTTAAAGTTGTAAAGTTATTCCTATAAATAGAGAACATTCTCTATTTTTCTTTTCTACTCCTTTTTCATTTATAACAATTTTTTTAAAAATAGTGTTAATTATAAGATTATTTTTATTTTAAATTCTCTATCCATTAAAATAAAACATTAATTAAAATATATAAAAATTTAAAGTTAATCTAAACCATCCAAAATCAATTTAGCTAGTTCAAGATGAGCACTTCATACTCATCATTTATAAGTATGGAGTGTGCTAGCAGTTATCGGAGCATAACGTTTAAGTTTGGTAATTATTAATTACTAATTACTATAATCTGGGACTGAGGCTTACAGTAGCGTCTGACTAACTTTGGGAATGAGCGCTTATGAATCAATAATATCATTTTCTATGAATTTTATATATTAAAAATCTTCAAAATTATTAAGTTAAAATATAAAATATTTTGGAAAAACGGCAAAAAAAAGACCATCAAAATAGAAAAATTATAAATTGGGATCTATGACAATATTAGTCAAGGAATAAAAAACCGAACCGGGAACTAAACCGGTCCAGGCAGTGAGTCAAGGGTCACTGGTCAAACCAGGGTCGGACCAGGGTTGGATCAGTCATATTAAAATAATAAAATTTAATTCATAATATTAAAATAGAACAAAATTCATAAACAATGATCACTTAAAATCACCCATTAAGAGTATTGGTATGGACTGAAATATCAATAGTTGAACGATTTTTACCCCTCCCAATTTTTGATATTTGATTTGCCATCCTCCAAATCCAGAAAAGAGAAACATGAATTCTGTAAAAAGCTAATTTTATATCCATAATTCCATTTGTAAATGCAATATCCAAAATCAATTTAATCGAGAGCAATCAAAAGCTATATTATTTCAGTAACAAAATTTATCAAGTACTCTCCTCCCTTCCCAAGTCTCTCAACAGCCAGAGAAAGAAGGAACAAAGCAACTCTTTAATCCTAAAAACACAAACTAGTTAAAAGGGAAAGGTTTTGAGCTTACCCACAAGGCCACAACTCAATGCACAGAGCGAAGGTGAAGCTTTCGTGAACGGCGAAGGTGAAGCAGAACATCAGTGAAGCTGAAGCATGGCCCTAGTGAGCTGTGACTTCCCGTGCAACTTGCGATGTGAGCTGTGACAGGGAAGCACGACGCCAGTGAACGGCGAAGGCGAAGCAGGACATCAGCGATGAGGGAGACAGGAAACTCGCGACTGGGTGTCACTGTCAGTGAATGGCCAAACGAAGAGGTTTGCCGTCAGCGAAGCTATGGATTCCATAGAGGGAAAGGCTGGAATCTGGGAGACAGAGCAAGGTGATTTGCAATTTTTGGGGAGGGGATTTTCAGATCTGGGAAGGGAACTAGGGAAGACCGAAGATGAAGTTGGAGGATTTTGGGTTTTGGTTGAGAAACGGTCTCGTTTTGCCAATGAAAAAATATTAAACCGGTAACCACCGGTTCGGTGGGTAGCCGGTTCAGCACTGGTTTTGCCCGATTGAACCGATTTTTCACCGATTCAACTATGAGCCGGTTTTTTAAGAAAACCAGACCGAATTGGTGACCGGTTCACGGTTTTTCAATTGAACCAGTCAGTCCGGTCCGGTGTTTTTTCTTGATATTAGTATGGGTTTTAACAACAATTTTCTGAACGAGTCCCTATATTTTTTAACAGTCCCTATATTTTTCACCAATTGTTTTTTTTATTTTAACAGTCTTTTTTTTTCTTGCAATTTGCCCAAATATTTTTTAAATTTCTTTTTTAAAATATTTATCATATCAAAAGCATAATAATTCTTTAAAATCGAAGTCCCTAGCCATTGTTTCAGGAAGTATTCGACCGAATTGTTTTGGGTTTTTCTGTTGTGTCTTCGCTACAATCCTTTCCAAGGGTTTCTTCTTTTCCAGGTGTGAGATCCCGTCGGGCGATTTTGTGACAGATTTTATTCCTTTCACTGATTTCGCTCGTTTTGAAGCCCTAGCGTTGCGACGACGATCTCCTGAATTGCTTCTAATTAGAGATTTCCTTTTGCATATAGCGAAGCTAACTCGAAGAGATGCCTCAGAGGCACTCGAAGAACAACAACGACCTTGCCTTCTTCACCTATGAGGAGAAACGAAAGCTCGGGTATGGGACCCAGAAGGAGAGGCTTGGCAAGGATTCGATTAAGCCCTTTGATGCTTGCTGCCTCTGCTTGAAGCCTTTCATCGATCCTATGAGTTGCCAGAAAGGACATGTGTTTTGCAAAGAATGCATTCTGGAATGCTTGTTGTCTCAAAAGAAAGACATTCAGCGGTATGATAGCTTACTCCTCAAATATGATTTCTGTTCTGTGTAGGTATTTTGATCTAGTAAGTATTTTATGCATTGGAACATGGAATTGGAATTTATGATTTGGAATTCGACTGGTTTTTGTTGTTGCCGTATTTCATTGTTAAGTTGCTTTCCGCAGAATCTAAAAGCTTTTGGTACTTGAATTTGTTATGTGGTTTCTTCCATGTGATGATTGGGTTTAATGTTCAATATTCAGTGAGGCTTCAACTTATATATCTTCCCCAAAATATTTTACTTTTGTCGGTTTAGAATTCTGTATGAGTTTGTAAAGCATAGGGCATCCCCAATAGAAGTTTAGGCAAGATTGGAAGGCAATTTCACATTTTAGTTTCCGCTCATGGTTGTACTTTAGTTGCGCACTAAGGATTGTTATGAATATTAGATGTGAGGGAAAATGGGGAAGAAGTTCTATTTATGATTATATCTTCGTTGGTGTCTGACTGGCTTTGGTGAATCTACGAAGGCTAGGCTGCATTGAGACTTGAAAGAGGGTAACATTCTAGCATGGCCTTTTATTATTATTGTTTCCATTATTATCTTTTTCTTAAGTTTGTAAAGCACAGGGGATCACCAATGGAAGTCTGGGCAAGTTTTATAGGAACTGCCATATTGTAGTTTTGTGCTTATGGTTGTAATTTAGTTTCTCTGTATGGATTGTTATTGGTTGTGAATGAAAATGGAGGAGTTTTATATTGGTTTGGCTTTGTGGAATGTGGATGGATGTGTATCTGCAAAGGTCAGGCTGCATTGAGACTTGAAAGACGGTAAAAAAAATCTAGCAACGTATAGGGAGGATGCTTTTCTTCTCTTCAGTGCATAATACCTCCCTGAATTTCATTAACATTCATGCATAGTTCCTGAGGGTTCATTCATGGCTTATTAATTGAGACATGAATTTTGGATCATGGCAAACGATTCTAAAGTTAGGTATATGGGCTAGGAAAACAAGTGCACCTCCGATAACAACAAAACTTGTCTGTTGTGATCTTGTATTGGTGGATCTCACTAGCGGGCTCTAAAATTGTCTCAGTACATGGTTGGGTGCTTTAAGGCTTAAATGCTGACACAAATCAATATCAATGAAAGATTAAACTTTTGAATACTTGATATAATGCATAAAGACGAATTAAAACCGTGGCGTGCATAATATTGGCTCAATGGTTTGACTCAGTCTTTATCATTTTCTATGTGAGTAACACATCATTTTCGATTGTTAAATTTACTCTGCCATGCTATATGACAAAAGACATGGAGCAGCTAGAAGCAGGTAGTGCTTGCTGTTTGTTGAGGCTTTTTCTTAGCCCCTTCATAACTTTCCTTTTCTTACTGTATGAGCTTTTGGAAATTATTGATGTCCTTGTTATATAGTGAAGTAATACCCTTTTCTTTTCTTTTAATGTGTCTTTCTCTGGTGTGAATACCTTTCTGTTATTTATATCAGCTGTGTAAATGTGCTTTTATGTGTACAATTTAAAAACAGGAAGCTTGCTGCCCGCGCTGCTCAGCAGAAGCAGGAAAAAGAAGAGGAAGAAGAGAGATTGATGTTGCAAAAGGCCAAGGAGCTTGATGCATTTGATCAGCAAAATCATGGCGCCCTGCCCCAATATAGTGACAGAAATTATAGTCGAGATAAGAATGGGTTTCATGGGGCAAACAGTGTGAAGGTCACTTCCTATGAAGAGGAAGCTCTTCGAACTATGAAAGCATTCTGGCTGCCTTCTGCTACGCCAGAAGCTTCTGCCAAAGTAGAAGCGCCTTCAACCACCACGACTTGTCCTGAAGGAAAAGAGAAACTCAAACTGAAGACTCTCTTCCCTATTCACTTTACTGAAGATACTAGTGAGCAGAAAAAATCCAAGTCTCTTGATACGACCTATATCTGTCCTAGCTGTAAGGTTTCTCTCACCAACACAATGTCACTTGTGGCCCTCAATACATGTGGGCATGTGTTTTGCAAGAAATGTGCCGATAGGTTTATGGCTGTGGATAAGGTTTGCCTTGTTTGCGACAAGCCTTGTAAAGAGAAGAATCTGGTGAACTTGGAGAAAGGAGGGACTGGGTATGCTGGTCACGGAGATCATCTTGAAGCCAGAGACTTCAAACATTTGGGAAGTGGTACTGGATTGGGGCTTGTTAGACCAGCAACGAAGACATAAGAGCCCTTTGAACTTGCCAGCGTGATGCGTGCAGGACAAGGACCTTATTCCAGTTTCTGGTTTTTTCTATCAAATGCCCTTGCTTTGTTTTATCGTTTGCTTTGCAGTTTCTTATCCTAACTTAGATATTTTATAAAGATGTAAAATTTTATGCTTCAGGACTGGTTCTTGGGTAATTATAAATATTGTTGAATTGATCTTGGCCTATGTTTTTCCCCATGGAAACATGTAGTCAAGAGTACTGAGCGTAATAGTGGAATTAGAACTCGCATGCAAAGATACTTGTCTTCCCCATCAAAGTTCCTTTGTCTCTTGCCTACTTGCTCCGTGATGTAAGAACTTTGATGGGGAAATTTGTTACTATGTTCCTAATTAATGCGTATTTACGTCTTCATAAAAAATATATAATTTTTGATAACGTAGCCAATAGTATTGTATGAAAAGGGCAAAAAAAAAATGCAGAAAGGTCAGTACATATAAGACAGCAACACGCACCAAATACCATATTAAAAAATCTACAAGGCAGAACATAAAAACTCAATATACTTACGACCAGCTACGGGGCCACGTCCAGTGTTGGGATTTTTTTTAAAATTTATTTATTAATAATTAATATTAGATTATTTAATTCACTTATTAATAATAATTATTTTTCAGTGATTTTTAATTCTTAAGTTGTAATATTATCTCAACAAAATCTCATTTCCCAATAAAATGATTTATATAGTCATTATATAGTGTTTCTTTTATAGTATTTTTTTTACAATATTGTTTTTATACCATTATTAATTATATAATTGAGCTTTTTATATAATATTTTTATATAACGTTTTTATCTTCAAAAGCCCAATAAAAAACGAACATTATAACATTAAAAAAAATCCATACCCAAAATTAAACTTTTTTTTAAAAAAAGAAACGAGACGTCCTGTCTTGTCCTGGTCTTGAGGGGACTAGGATGGCCATGAGACGGAAGTCCTGTCCTTGTCTTTGTGATGGAGGAGCATGGTGTAATCAAGATCAAGTTTCAAATGAAGAGCAAGGAGCCCAAACACATGGAAAGATGTTCAACATTTTAAAAAATCCATCACAAGGCATTGGAGGCCCAATGACAAGAACAAGGACCAAAGCTATAAAGAAGGCCCTGAATTGTCGCATAAAAGAACTAAAAGAGTTGGAGCTTATTTATTTACAGGAAGCACATCTTAGTTAGCCTAAAAAGAGTTCAAGAATGGTGATCATATTGCTAGAAGCCGAACAAGATAACGTACAAGGCTCATGTGGAGTCTGAATTAAAGAATTCACTTAAAATACCATGTGACAAGCATGCATCTTGGAGGAGGAGCATAAAATAACATCCAAAAACCTTCAAGAGGCATCAAAAGGAGTCATTATGCATTAATTATTATTTAAATTTATTTTTAGGAAGTTTTCTTTTTTTAATTTGTTTTGAATAAGGCTTTTTGGTCAAGGATTGTTCTAGAAGATTGCGTTTTGATTTAGTTTCTAATTTTCAAATAGTAGACTTGTTTTTGTCATTTCCTTTTATTTCTATGTAATAAATAGTGCTTCCTATAGTCAAATAATCATTAATGAGGCATCATCCCTAGCATTTATGTCTTAAGATGCTGATTCTAGAGTATTTTATGGTTGCCTATGTATAGGCTGTATTTTTGTACTTGAATTTCAGACCTAAATGAATGAGAATTAAGTTTATTTGTCTCTATGTGAACTTTCCTTGCATCCTCATATTCTTGTGACAATACTTGATAGTATCAAGTGATTAATAAACCTTGTGGTGTCTTTATGACTAAGATTATAAGAGACAGGTTCTTTTAAGGTCCTACCTAGATCAACCATCTGTTCGTTACTTAATTCTAGCCGGTTCGTACGTCCTCTCATATCAAGTGGTATTAGAGCTAAGGTTTACTAGATTTCAAGTTCTACCATTTTGTGTTTTCATTGTTTTTTCCTTTCTTTGCTGTTTTCATTTTCTTTTTGTTCTGTTCTCTTTATTCTGACTTCCTCCTTTCTTGGTTATCTTCATCCCTTTTTTTCTTTTTCCATTTTCATCTTCTTTTCACTCATTTTTTGTGTTTGTTTGACTTATTTTGTTCTTTTGAGTAGCAAAAAAAAATCACGCAAAAAAAAAGGTCTAGTTGTGTTAAGCAAAAAAAATGCAAAATTGCCCAAAAAAAGAAATTTGAAAATTAAAAAAAAAGAGATTGAAGGCAAGTTTTCTAATATGTGAGTGCTTTCATTGCAAGTCATTAGTAATTTACTAAATTTTTAAGCTTAGGTGGTAAGACTCTTACTTTCCTTTGTTTCTTGTTTTTTATTTTAATTTTCTTTCTGTTTTAGGCTACTTTCTTATTTTCCTTCTTCAAGTTTCTTATTTCTTTTCCTTCCTTTTTCATACTATTTGCCTAATTAGAGTTCTCTTCTTGTAAGGTACTGACTTTCCTAAAGTGTTCTCAAGGTAGTAGTATCTTTTCTAAATTCTTTGTTTCCACTTTCCTTTCTTTCTACGCTTCTCTTTACATCAATAAATTTTCTATCCTTTTACATACGTTTTTCTTCCTATCCTTATTTATTTTATCATTTCCTTCAAGTCTATCCCCTACTTTCATCCTATATCCCTTTCTTGTCTCTCATAATTTTTTACAATTCCTTTTTTTTAATAAAAGATAATTTTTTACAAATCTTAGTTGTGAAGGTTATCACATACTAATATTGTCTCTTGATTTTGTTGAGTTTCAATCAAGAATATTATAGGAGTCAAGCTTGAATGGTAAAAAGTAAGAGTGTTTAAATTATTTTAAAAGCCAAATTTGAGTGAAACACGAGTGACATAAATCATTTTGACTAAAACACATGAGTAGACTGGTAAGGTCCTTTTCTCTCTGTTTTCAACCTTTCACGTACCACAAATATGTATGGCCACAAGGAACTTGGGGAAGGTTTCAAATCCTTCCTAAAAGAAGTCCAAAAGTTAAATGCTGAAGTAGACCATTTGAAGTGTAGTTGCTGTAGGGAATTGAAAGACGACGCGCAGCGGAAAAAATTTTAAAACTTTCAATCCCTTTCCGGATCTACCGATCGTGTTTAAGTCAGGTAGTAAGAAGCATTACCTTTAGGCGTTCGATTCCCTGGTGACTTGACGATTCGGCCGTTCAGGATGCTTCTGCTCGCCTCCTGTGTCGTTCGAAGTCGACAACTCCGGTCGGCTTCCTCTACCGGTATCCACACGAGTAGCCCTCAACCTCGAACGGCGTGCTAGCGCCTATGTCCGTCTAGGGTTTTAGGAATCCGTCCTCTCTCCTCTTCCTTAGGCCGTCTCTTATCTGTTGGTTCTCTCTTGCCTAAACCCTAGCTCCTCATATCAAATATATAGGATGCTATATAGGTTTAATTAATAATATTTAATTTCAAAATTAACTCTAAATTAATTCCGAAATTAATACAATATCAAATATTGCCTAATCAGATAAGAGAACAATTAAATAAATATGGTTTAAATTAAATCCGTCTCACAGATTTAATTCTCCTATTTATTTAATAAAGAGATGACGGAATTAATTTGTATATATTTAATTTATCCTTATAAATTAAATCTAACAATTAATATCTTTTATATTTATATATATATACGAATTTATATATATATATATATACACGTCCACCCTATATTATTCATTGAATCCGGACATATCTTAGATTCAATGAATCTGGATATCATAACTCGTGTCGGGCTATTTTGTGTGCGACCCTGTAGGCCCATATGAAGTTGGCAGTGGGCCATTAACTATAATGACCCACAAGTCGTAAGCGGTCTCTAGCAAGACATCACGACTACCCAAATCATATGAGGATCATTGAACGATGCAACCTTTCATACAACCATATCACGTCCCTTTTGTCTCACGACATTTTGGTCATGGATGAGGCATGGAGAACGTCATCCTCCTATTCATAACCGTTACTTTCTCGATCCCTGAGTAGTCTGAGTATAGAAATGGAACTACCTTTCCATTATAGTATGGCCATACATTTCTCAGACTCACTCATCGAGGGGCCCAGTAATGTCTCTCTACGAATGTGAGGGACAAATTCCATCTTGACCATTCACATTCCTCCGCATGAAAAACCACTAAGCCTGAACATAGTCTTTATGATCACTCGGTCAAAAGTGACTTTTGACTAGGTCAAAGCTAAGCGTTTCTTATGTAGGAATCCATGATGATCTCAGGTCAAAGGACACAGTGACATGGTTTGTATATGAGAGAGGCTTATGACTTAACCCATGCAGCTCTCTCATAGCGGGTCGGTCCAACACCTTGTACTCTTACATGTGCCTATGACTTTAATTTATATCTCTATATATCTTTAAAGTCATACTGGTCTTATTTCATCTTTGCTCCCACATAGATGACTAACCAGGGACATTTAGGATAAACCATGAGTTATCCAAGGATAGTCATCACAGTAAACATGCAAATAATATGATAACTTAATTAATAAATTCATAAATTAACAATGTTCAAAACAGAATGATTGGCCCCTAGGGCACAATTTCCAACAGTTGCAACTCCAAGTCGAAGATTGCAGGAGTTAAAACAAGGCTCCATAAATGTTAAGGATCATTACCATAAGATGGAGTTAACTATGATTAAAGCTAGTATAAAGGAGACTCTAAAAGCCACTATGAATAATTTTATACATAGGCTTAATCCTAGATTAGTCAGTGTCGTAGAAATAGGTAGCTTCATAGAGATTGAAGATTTAGTTTCACTACTTGGCAAGCAAGAGCAAGAACTCAAGAGAAAGAAACATTCAAAAAGACAATACTCCTCTTCAACGAAGAACAATCAAGAGAAAGATGTCATCTCCACATCCAATTCAAATGACAATAACTCCATTATTGTGGATAATTGTAAAAAAGAAGAATGCTTGAGTAAAGAAACAAGTATAATATAGAGTGCAGAGTGTTTTCAAAATAATGAGAGCAAAAATGGGTGTACTAAACTGAGTGAAAAGAAAAATGAAAATAACTGAGAAAAATGATGTTAAGAGTGATTGCAAGGATGTTTATTTATTACTAACAATCTTAATCATTCTTTGCCTTGTGTTTATGGTATGTTGTAGGTATTTGATTTGTTTCCTAAAGAGCCACCCGATGGATTCCCATGTCATTCAAGCAAAATTGA